ATGAATAGCTTTTATGTGATACACTTCAGTGATTTACAGGAAAGTGTATTATAAGATGTTACAGTTTTTTTTACAATTGTAAAATAAATTAGATGCAGTGAATCTTACGTAGCTAACATTTGTGCCCTGAATTTTCAAATGAAATTATACTTCAAGGCTGAAAATATCCCCCCAAAATGTGAGCCGTTCCTGAAAACTAATTGTTACTGTTCAATTAAAAATGTTATGAAACAACTGACCTGAAAACTGAATCAATTACAGGCATAAACCAATATGTTAGAAGAGTTCAAGCTCTTAAGCTTTTGAAACTTGAAGCTTTTGAAGCTCAGTGAAATATCTGATTGAAGGAAATTATAAAAATGGTCAGGAAATATCTCCTAGAATCTTGATCACTGATTATTTTCTTGCTTTGTTTTGTGCGATATTCATTATTTGGCATTCAAGTCAGTTTGACTTTCAGAAAGATTAAATGAAAAGGCAGGAGTGGGGGAATTGAGAGAACACAAGCAAACAAAAGCCCAAAGAAAGGCAAAATTAAAGAAAAAAATCCCAGAAACAACAACAACATTACATTTGTATAACGCCTTTCACATCGGGAGCACATCTCAAGGTGTACAGTGTACACCTATATTTTGTTTTCTGTCATCAATCTAGTGACTGATGACTGATTTTTCTCTAGCTTTCTCCATCTAAGAGGATGGATTGGAGTTTCCTCCATATAGCTGTAGGTTACATTTGAATTCCCAGATTCAAGCAGTTCCACAGGTTTCCATAGCGCACCGATTTTAGGCCTCACTTGTAATCAAGGGAATATTCTCTAACAGCTGGCACTGCATTTTCCGTTCTCAAATACTTTCTGATTGGGATCAAGCACTGAAAAGAATGCCAAGCAGCGTGGAAATATGTGGAGCCACTTGCTGCTGGTGATTTGCCTACATAACATCATGGAGTGTTCAAACACTAAACAGCGTGGGTTATGAGTCGATATCCAGATGTTTGGTTTGATTACCTCTTTCGGGCCTGGGCGATATTCACAGAACTCATCTTCTTGGGAGGTTTTGTGGTTTTCCATTTTGTCACAAAAATGAGCATCGTACAAAACGATGCAAGAAAATAATCAGTGATCGAGATTCTAGGTATTTACTAACCATTCATACAATTTTCTTCTTCAACAACAACAACAAAATTACATTTTTATAGCGCCTTTCACGTTGGGAGGATGTCCCAAGGCGCAGGACAGATAGAGTTGCGGACCCAAGCTGGGAGTTGGGGTGGGGAGGGTGGAGGGCAGAGGGGTGGAAGCAGGGAGATCGAAACCATGGTCGAAGAAGAGGGTCTTGAGGTGAGTCTTGAAGGTGGCGAGGGAGGGGGCGAGGCGGAGGGACTGCGGGATGAAGTTCCAGAGGGTGGGTGCAGAGTGGCGGAAGGGCTGCCCGCCAATAGTTGGGCGAGCAAGGCAGGGGACGTGAAACAGGCCGGAGTCCACTGAGCGGAGGGAATGAGCAGGATGGTAGGGGATGAGGAGGTCGGAGAGGAAGAGGGGAGCAAGACTATGGAGGGCTTTGAAGGTGAGGACCCGGATCTTGAACTGTATCCTCTGTGTGATGGCAAGCCAGTGGAGTTGGGCTAGGATGGGGGTGATAGGATATTCAATCGGATATTTCATTCAGCTTCATAAGTGTTAAGCTTCAAAAGTTTAAGAGCATTAACTCTTACACCATATTGTGCATGTAGTTGATTCAGTTTTCAAACCAGTTGTTTCATAAAATTTGTAATTGAACAATAACAATTGTAACATTAAACAATGAAGCAGGCACCTTCAGGAATCATTGTAACATGCTTGAAAGGGAAACAGCACCACAAGAACAGAACAAGGTGCAAAAAAACTATACACCACAATTGTAGGTGGTTGAAGATAGTTTTGTTCTTAAGTGATCTACCAACCAATGCTGACACAACTGTTCAGACTTGTATACAGCAAAACTGTATTGGTGGTTTTATGTATTTGAAACAAGGTAAGCTCGACAAATCCCCCATCATAGAACAGAACAACAAACAAAGATTAAGTTGTTTAATCACTGGACCACCCATTAATTTGTTATTACGTTCAATTCAAGATAAAGGCAAGTGACCTGTAGTCATACACCAAATACTGTAATTGAGTGTCCACTTAACCTCATTGGGACCAAGGTTAGGAACTAAAGGTTTTGGTTTGTACTGTCATTATGATATTAAAAATATGCATTATTGTCTAAGAAATGCTTCTAACTTTCATTGAGTGGCACCTAATTATCAATGCCCACATCATTCATACAACAATCCAATTTTATAATTCATGTTTAGCATTCTGATATTGTCTTGATTTTTTAAACCAAGCTAAGGGAACAATTATCTGAATTATAAAATATTTTATGTTCGTTCTGTACTATGGTGTGATCAAGAATTATGATGATGCAAGTGAAAGTTCAGCAGCAATAATCCCACAACAAAATGACATATGATGACAGGCAAAAAATACTTCTGAAATGGTAATCGATCACCATGCCATGAAATTCCCTAACATTGTCAGCTGAAATAAGAGCAAACACAGTGACATTATATAATGTAGCATGTTAAGATCTCAAGAAACCTTTGGCTAAAGTGGGTCTGATAAAGATTTCTACAGTAAAAATATTCAAATCTCAGGAAACATTAGCTGCGAAAGAAAAGATTTGACTGTCTTTGCATTTGAAAAATCTGGATACCACATTTGAGCAATTGAATTGTTTGCAATATAGTGTAGCTATTGCTAATTATGGGCTGCAATAGCTACTGTAGACACTCTGATAGTACATTCTGAAGGAGCAGCAATTTTAAATTAGAATATCCACTGTTAAGTGGAGACTCAAAAGTACACTTCATCAAATTAAGCTCTTCAAGTTCTGTATAAACTTGATTTGAAAGGCTCATTCCACACCAATATCTGAAAGTTTAATGGCCAAGTTTGCCTTGGCTTATATAATATAAACATCACCTACAAAATAAGGTCACCTACACTTTAGAGTAAAACCCTGTCAAGTGCTTTGAGATCTCCTCCAGACATGAAAGGCGCTAAATCAAATGTGAGGATTATAATTATTAGTTACATAGAGTTCCTTAGATTATTAGTTTTTCCTTTGTGAGTGGTGAATAATCTGGGTATGAAATTAAATGGAAAACAAACATAAAATGACTCATCCACAATATCAAGAGACCATCTAATGTTTTGGCCCGTTGTGCCCGAAAACATTCTGCAACAACCTCTTAATCTGAAATGTTGCCATGAAATTTATTTCTACATTCCCCCACCTGCTGAAAAGTGACAGTCTGTTACTCATGGAGCATCCATCCATACAATTGGACTCTGATCCTACTCAGAGCATCTGCTGCAGTATTCTGCAGAAATAATTGAACAGAAATAATGTAACATTTTGCAATCACAGAAACAATATGTGTATGATTTTGACACATCGAGGTTTAGAATTAAGTTATGGCTAAATGTTTGCTTGAAGACAGTTGAGCTACCCAAACTGCTCAAAGATTGTGTCAATTTATGATCAAAGATGATTTGTACTCAGCCCACACACCCTGGGACTATACTCCCATTGCGTGAGACAGTCAATCCGCAGGTAAGAGATAGATGATTGACTGCAGTCTTATTCTGCACAATACAATGTTTTCTCTCGAATAGGCCTCATTTTAGTGGATCATGATGTGTCAGCATAACAGAAAACCTGTGAAGAACCATTGTACCATAAGATTCATTTGCAAACTGCTTGCAGTGTTACATATAGTAGCAGAAAACATCATCTGTTGACAAGCCCAAAACTCACATACACTAATTGACCAGAAATCTACATCTCATGACTAGTGTTGGTAGATACTGAAGTCCTTCAAATGGCAGTAAGTGCCAGCATCAACTAAAGGCAAGGGATAGCAGACTGGAGAAAGATCTGACCAAAGAATAAGGCCTCAATTGGATATATTGATTACATTAAAAAAGAAACACACTTCAGTCATTGGCAGTGTCAGTAACTATGCAAATGAAAAGCTCCCCATAAACTAAATAACATAATAGAAAACATTCTGTAAAAATATACACTAACCAAAACACAAATTAGGTTATAAATTCACCAATTTACTTCCTGTATGCATACCATAAAAAATTGTTGCTGTGTGGCTGAAGGAAATTAATTGAGCTGAGGTTCAGAACAAGGAATTTTGACATTGTGAATATTGGGAAGGCCATCTGATCAAGATGGCTCTTATAGAGTGCCAAAATATTAAAACAACAATATTCTAAGTGGCTTTGACTTGTTTGATGTGCAAGTGTTGACTTTATGTGGAGGGTAAATAGATGCCAATAAATAGTTTGCTCTGAAATCCAAGTTTATAATTAATCGATCAGTACAAAGTGTTCTGAATTTATTGCTCTTTCAAATCAAAGTGCAATGTCAGATCAAAGTACAAACACTCCAGGTACCGATGTACAGCTGTTTAAAAGCACTCTGACTCAAAGCAGACAGGTGTGTTAACCTTATGGTGTTGAGAACTAAAAAGGGCACTTTACCAGCATCATAAGCAAACTGCTAATTTATGCAATTTTATATTATATTTGCAATAAGTACAATGAAGATAAAATTTAGTTTTTTAAAAAAAAATGATTTTGATTACTTTCAGGGTTTGGAAAAAGGGAGTAGTTTGTTTAAAAGGGAATAGTATATTTAAAAGGGAGCATGCAAATTAATATATGAATCTATCACGGTTAATCTCACTATGTAACCAGACCCACAATAAAGCAATTGCAACAATATCACACAGAGGACTCCAGCATCTCACCACCCTGTTCCACAGATAAGTAAAAGTTTATTTTTCACTTACACCAGTTGTGGCACTACTGTTTCAAAGTGCTTCTCAGGATCTGCTACAAGGAGACACATATCATTGTGCAATAGTTGTCTAAAATAATAGTAATTACTCACCACAAGCCTGCTGTACCAGCACAAGACAGTTGTCTTGTCAGTTCCTTATTTCCTTCCTGCCCGTTCTTGGCCATGGAGCATCTTGTTGGAGTTTTTCAGTCTGCTATAAATCCCATTCTGTCTTGGATCTCTAGGAAAATCAAATTACACTGTCACACAGTGTCCTTAATTCATTCATTAAACTCTCTATCCTACTTCAGATAAACACTCCTCCCATGTCACTTGCACAAAGGTTCTCTGCAGCTCAGTGATTTATTTCTGAATTTTGTAGAATGCCAGTGCCCGTGTTCAGTCGGAAACGAGAAAGGAAGTGCAACTGATATCTTGCCTAAAGATCATCTGAATGTTGATATGGTCTGCAGTTATCTTCGTATGGGCCTCTTTGTTTTTCTACCACTTTCCAAACAAAACTGGTAAATGAGTTTGTACAACCAACCAAATATCTGTAGAACAAGCTGCTCGTCACACCACTCCCACTCCTGTGAAAACCTGCAAGCCAGCATGTCATTTTCAGTAACAGTGTCAACATGTTATTTACAGCTGGCCAATTACTAAGTGTAAAGAGCAATTTCAATTGCCATGCCTTTTACTCAGAGTTTGAACTTTAACATTTAAAAGCTATTTATGGCAAGCCAATAAGTTATCAATCTTAGAATGTGATATTATGCATTGCCACATTTCTGGAAACATTATTGGCATAACTGGAACAATTAGTTGGGTGGGGAACTGATAGACATCTGAATGGCCAAAATGAAAGATCCAAATACCGTGGAGTCCTGTAGCGTAGTGATTAGAGCAATCGTTTTGCAAGCGAGAGGACCTGGGTTCAATTCCAGAGCAAGGCGAAACCTTAGGCGAGTTTCCTTACTCCACACACCTAGCAGTAAGTACGAACCCAGTTATTAGTCGATTAACGGATCACTTTTCCAGGGGTAATAATCTCTTCAAAAAATAATAATAATTTGGTCATTCAGTCCACTACTGTTTGTGGGACACTGTTGTGCACAATTGGCTGCCACATTTCACCCACAAAATATACAGTCAATTCACTTTACAGTATATTCTGTGAAGCGCTTTGAGACGTCTCAAAGATGTGATAAGGTGCTATATCAATTGCAAAGATTATTAAATACCACTGATTTCATAGGGTTTAAATTTTCAAAGCAAAACAACTCAAAACAGCTTTTAAGATAAGTTTGAAAATGTGAGTTATGAAGATGAAGAAAAGCCCTGGGTTTAACCAGGAATCTGTGTTCTAATCAACTCTGATATTCTATGAAACTTACATCCTGTCTCTGAAAGAAAAGAAAATATAGAAATAATCCATCCTTGTATTTGTATAAAAAAGTTAAGATGGATACCTGGTAAACTTTCAGCATACAAGTGGCATGCTTATAGCCACTCATGTGAACAGTCGTACAGAATAATATGTACAGCTGGAGATTGTAATTATACGTAGGTAAGATCCCCCTATCTCATTTATTAACCTCACTTGGGTTTACATTTTTCACAAAGTTTGCTTTCTTTCTCTGTCTTTCATGTTTCATCTCAGTACATGTAGTTCATTTTCTCCCTGTCATTCTCACAAGACCTTTAGCCTACCTCAAAGTAATTAACTAGCCCAATTTATAAGGTATGGATAACATATATAAGTAATTTCGAAATGTAAACTCTAAAGCATCTAATGATGATTCAAAAACAATTACTATTCATTCAGCATAGCCAATATATAGATAGTTCAAGGCCAAACTAAATTGAGAGCATATACTGCACACCTATATTTGTTCGGTGCTTAATGCGTATTTATTTTATGAAAGCGTGAAATTGCAAACAACAACTGGCATTTATATAACACCGCTCATCCAGAATAGCGTCCCAAAGCAAAGTACATGATAACCAATGAATTTTGTTTCTGCTTAATAAATTCACAAAATTAACAGGGTTTCACTGTGTTGGATTGTAAATAGATGAGTTCACTCTATGAACTGAGTTTTAGTACCAGAAAAGCTTTTCTTGAAAACCACACCTGTATCCTGAGACTAGGCTCAATGTGCAGGTTTACAGACATTGGGTAAGGACAGCAAAAGGATCAGCTGTGAATGTCCTGCATCAAACCGCCTGTCACCCACAATGGCCATTTGGTGAAAATGTCAGAAGGCAACCAGCATTCGTGGCTCAGTAGAAAATAGAAAGTCTCACTTTCAGGAGAGGAGGGAAAGGGGAATTGTTAAAAAAAGGGGAATCTTAAGTAATCTCCAACCTATGAAGTTACTGATTACTCTAATCTCACTCTGGCTGTCAAATGGCCAACGTTGGGGAAGGTAGGAGGGTCTCTTTGGGGGAGAGCTCGCTCCGAGGTGATTGGTTAGCAATGGAATGTCAACCCTTTGTGCTGGTCTGACCTCCACAGACACAGCTGACCAAAAGACTCTTGTAGCTGAACTTGGCCTAGGGCTGCAATGCAGTGGTACTCTCTAACTACCACCCCAGCTCCAATCTCTCCTTCCTCTCCAAGGTCCTGGAACGAGTTGCTGCTTCTCAGCATCGCTCCTTCCTCTCCCACTACTCCCTTCTCGAACCCCTCCAATCGGGCTTCCTTGCCGCCCACAGCATAGAACCCGCCCTGGTCAAAGTGATAAATGAAATTCTGTTCATCTGCGACCAGGGCTCCCTCTGCCACCTCATCCTCCTTGACCTCTCTGCTGCTTTCGATACCGTCAACCACTCTATCCTTATCCACCGCCTCTCCTCTCACCTCAACCTCCACAGCACTGTCCTTGATTGGTTCAGAACGTACCTCTCACACCACCTGCACTTCATCTCCTCAAACGACTTCTCCTCTGGCCCCCGGACCATCTCATGTGGCATTCCTCAGGGATCTGTCCTTGGTCCCCTCCTTTTCAACATCTATATACTCCCCCTTGGTGATATCATCCACGGACATGGGGTCAACTTCCACATGTATGCGGATGACACCCAACTCTACCTCTCTGCCTCCACCCTTGACTCCAGGATCACTTCCCACAGAAGTGCTGACAGAATGTTTGTCAAACATCAAGTCCTGGATGAGAGCTAACTTTCTTCAGCTGAACGTCAACAAGACCGAGGCTCTCCTGATTGGCTCCTGTCAGCGCCTCCTCACCTCAGGCGCTGACAGTATCACCATCTATGGTTACGCACTCCACCTTGCTAAGCCAGTCCAGAACCTTGGGGTCTTGTTCGACCCTCAACTATACTTTCTACCCCATATTCGCACCGTGACCTGCTCTGCCTTCCCCCACCTCCGCAACATCGCCCGGCTCTGACACTGTCTCACACTGCAGGCCACCAAAACCTTCATACATGCCTTCATTACATCCAGGCTCAACTATGCAAACTCATTGCTTGTCGGCCTCCCCAACTCCTCCCTCCACAGGCTGCAGATCATCCAGAACTCTGCAGCCCGTGTCCTCTCCCGCACTAGGCTCCTTGACCCTATCACCCCCATCCTTGCCAACTCCACTGGCTTCCCATCACACAGAGGATACAGTTCAAGATACTGGTCCTCACCTTCAAAGTCCTCCATGGTCTTGCTCCCCCCTACCTCTCCGACCTCCTAAACCCCTGCCACCCTTTTTGTTCCCTCCGCTCAGGGGGCTCTGGCCTGCTTCACATCCCCCGCCTTGCTCGCCCCACTATCGGCAGGCGGGCCTTCCACCACTCTGCACCCATCCTCTGGAACTTCATCCCGCAGTCCCTCCGTCTCGCCTCCTCCCTCGCCACCTTGAAGACTCACCTCAAGACCCTCCTCTTCGACCGTGCTTTTGATCTCCCTGCTTCCCCTCCTGCCTTCCCCCCTCCCCCACCCTGACGCTCAGCTCAGGTCCGAAACTCTGTCTGTCCAGCGCCTTGGACGTCCTCCCGACGTGAAAGGCGCTTTACAAATGTAATTTTGTTGTTGTTGTTGAAGATTGCAGACAGAGGGATCAAGGAGAGTAAAGTCAAGCAAGCCCAAAAACTGGACATACCATCACACTATTCCTTCCAGTGCATATTACCGGTGGGAAGAAAAAGTTAATGACTTATTCATCATCACAATATGAATCACTTCTGCCATGAAATGACTTTAGGTTAATACATTTAAACTTGCCCCACCTGCAGTTTCGCACACGAGGTATTAATCATAATTTTCTGTTGCTACAAGGCTATGAGCAATGCTGATCCAATGACCTGCAACAATTTAAAACTTTGGTGTACAGTATTTTCATTGATCTAATAATATCACAATCATTTCTTACATTTGATATAGAGCCTTATCACATCTTCTAGACATCTGAAAGCACTTCACAGAATATACTGCAAAGTGAACTGACTTTATATTTTGTGAGCAAAACACGGCAACCAATTGCGCACAGTAGTGTCCCACAAACAGTCGTGGATTGAGTGACCAATTTATTTATTTTTTCAAGGAATTATTACCCCTGGAAAAGCGATCCACCAATTGACTAACAACTGGGTTCCTTCTAACTGCTAGGTAAACAGAGGCGTGTGGAGTAACGAAACTTGCTCAATGTTTCGCCCTAGCAGGAATCAAACCCAGGTCTCTCGCTCGCAAGGCTAGTGCTCTAACCACTGAGCTATAGGACTCCATGTAGCATGAGCTTGTAAGGTAAACAACACAATGTTTTGTTGGACTGAAATATTTTGGTGACAAACCCAAAATGTGAAGATTATTATTATTTTGAATGATATCTTTAAATTAAACCTACTTTGATAAAGCTGTCATTGCTTCTCAAGGTCTAAAGCTATTTTTGGATGATAAACCAAATACTTTTCAATGAAAAGTAATGCTAAGCAGGTTTTGTCATCTTCTCAGCAACAACTGAATGTAAATGCGTCACACCAAGGTGTTATTGCAGGACTGAAGTATTTAGGTGACAAACCCAAAATAGTTTCCATACACAAACATGTCAAAATGCACAGTATCTTAGTTCCTCTTCTTCACTAATCTCTCTCCAATCAGTTAGAACATCAGGGTTTCAGAAGGGAATGCAATACCAGACAATTCAACATAAGCGCTTTGGGACGTCCTCCCGACGTGAAAAGCGCTATATCAAATGCAAGGATTATTATACCTTCACGAGTGTCGTATTGACATGTCACAATATACTGTACTCTCCTTTGCCAGTAAGTCACTGTTAGTCAACCGTGACGTATATTCCTATTACCACTCATTGTTGAGCCAAATAGCAAACCAGCTTGATATAATGTCAGATAAACCATAAGTGTAACCACACCCCACACTCCACCCCCAACTATGCTCCCGGGCAGGCAAGATACTGTCAAGAAACTATTTGCCTAACAGCTGGACAAAGAAAGAAAAAAAAGTTTCTGGTAGTGCTCATATGTCAACCCATCGCTTTCCTATCTTATATGGCATCTTTTATACTATACAGTTAGTCATGATGTCTCTTGAAGCTATTTCAAAATACATAGTACAGTGTGCTAACTTGCAGTTT